TAGTTTTAAACTCTTAGTAGGGATGTGCATATTTCGATACTGACATCGAATGATATACCAAAATCGATGGCATTAAAATGACCGAAATGAAAACAACGATATTTATAAACATCGATGTTTTTTAAAACTTATACATTTAAAAGTAAGTAAAACAAAATGAGACCGCATTTATTTTATAAAAAATATAAACAAATATAAATATTCCAAATGTTATAATAAAACAAAGCAAAACTAAGAAAATTATTATTTTTAATAAATTTACATCACAGTTATCCAAAATATGCTTCAAATTAAACTTTTTAATTGAATATTAGAGGGCGCATTTGTGTGATAAAAATTTGTTTTTTTAATAATGACCGATTTAAATAAAGATACAATATGCTGAAGAATGAAAAATATCGAATAAAACATCGATATTATTAAAAAAATAAAACCGATAAAAATTGAAACATCGAACGTCGTGTCGAAAGCCAAATATCGACGTATCGTGCGCATCCCTAGCTCTTAGTTCCTGGTAATGGACCATATTTTTAAGTCAGTTCTATTAGAATTAGAAAGTCTCAGACAATGCTACACCCAAGTTACAGTTAAAATTTTAAATTAATAATACCTCGCTATTGTTTAAAATGTCAGAAATATGGAACTATTGTACTAAAAACGATTCAAAGCAAAACGCAATTTGCAACATTTGCGAAAATTCTTTCAAATATTCTGGAAGCACTAGTACTCTTTGGAGCAACCTAAGGAAAAAACACAAGTTTTCCCAGGAGGCCTTAGGAGAAAGTCGTGATGATGATCGATTGACTTTAGATAGTTTTGTAATTACCGACAGGTAAATTGTTATAATTTGTATATTTATAATCATATAGGTACCTACCCCTATAACTATAATTAGCTACCCACCTCTAAGTAATAGGTAACTGTAACTAGTAACAATAAGAGTAATAACTTATTACTCTATAGTGATTAGTGATGGTACTTGTTACGAATAATTATAGTGAAACCCCTATAAAAAGGGACGATTTTATTAGATGACAGTGACAAACCCAGAAGAAAACCGTAATCTAGCTGTTCTTTCTTCTGTGATCTAGCTGTCAAAAAAATCAAGCATGATTGTTGCGGTTAAGGAAAGGTGAAATGGTTAGTAAAGTTACCCCATTTCTATTGAAAACAAAGAATTTGGTGGATTGTTTTGCCACGATTAAGCCGGTGATGGTTACAGTTAAACCAGTAAGGGATAAACCAGTGACGGGTTTAACTGGTCACGGTTACGGTTAAACCACCGAATCCGGTTTGACCGGCTCGGTTTGATCGGACCGGTTAACCGGATAATCTGACTGGTTGACCAGATAATCGGACCGGTTAACCAGATATCCGGACCGTTGCTAAATTCTTAAAAGTGCATAACATAATAACGAAAAGTATTTAAAAAAATATACATGTTTAATTATGTTTATTAGTATACGCACATTTTTTGGCTGCATGTATTTAGGGTATTCAAGAAATATAGTGGAAACTGCTTCATTTAGTAAACGTCTTTTACAGTCCGTCCTTTAAAAAATGTCTTTCAAATGTTTTGAACACAATCTATCATTTGGCGTAGGCATCCAATTTGCAATTTTCGTTGCCTGAAGATTTTTTTGCTGGATCCACAGTAAATCTAAATAAAACAACAAATAAACATTGCTGCAATTAAATAAAAAGCAAAAGTAAATTGGAATTTAATAAAAAATAATATTTAGAATTGTACGAAACGCCACTGGAAAAAAATTATTTATTTAGCCATTTTAATATCATAAATTGCTTAAATATCAATGAAAATCATAAAAACAAACTTGGTGGGTAACATTTATTAGTCTGGAGTGAGACATGTATAATATGTAAATACCAAGTTGTATAACACCAAATAAAATGAAAAATATAAGAAAATATATAAAGTAAAAACGATTAATGTTTATCATTTACCTGTGAAACGTAATGTCTGCTTCTTTCGTGCCGCTATAACTTTTACACTGATATGGCCACACAATGAATCATTGTAATAAACCAATTATTAAATACCTTTAATTCAAAAAGCTTACACACAAAAAACTTTGGTGTCACCGAAATGCTAAAGAAAGAAAGAAAGAAAGAAAGAAAGAAAGAAAGAAAGAAGAAGAAAGAAGAAGAAAAGAAAGAAAGAAAGAAAGAAAGAAAAGAAAGAAAGAGAAGAAGAAAGAAAGAAAGAAAGAAGAAAGAAAGAAGAAAGAAAGAAGAAGAAAGAAAGAAAGAAAGAAAGAAAGAAGAAGAAAAGAAAGAAAGAAAGAAGAAGAAAGAAGAGAAGAAAGAAAGAAGAAGAAAGAAAGAAGAAGAAGATAAGAAGAAAGAAAGAAAGAAAGAAAGAAAGAAGAAAGAAAGAAAGAAAGAAAGAAAGAAAGAAAGAGAAGAAGAAAGAAAGAAAGAAGAAAGAAAGAAAGAAAGAAAGAAAGAAAGAAAGAAAGAAAGAAAGAAGAAAGAAAGAAAGAAAGAAAAGAAAGAAAGAAAGAAAGAAGAAGAAGAAAGAAAGAAGAAGAAAGAAAGAAAGAAGAAAGAAAGAAGAAAGAAAGAAGAAAGAAAGAAAAGAAAGAAAGAAAGAAAGAAAGAAGAAAGAAAGAAAGAAAGAAGAAGAAAGAAGAAAGAAAGAAAAGCCATTTGAGCTAGTGCAGTGAACGTTAGTGCTAGTGTAAAACAGTGTAATAAATCGATACGCCAATTATTGGTGATGCTTTTCTATCAACGACTACAAGATTAATTTTGTTTTCAAAAATAAAATTGTAAAAAAATCACGGATTTATCCACCGTGTTGTCAAATTATTATAAGAGAGTATGGCGAAAGTATTATTACAATAATAATAATAATAATAATAATAACATAACTTTATTAAATAATAAATTACATATGTATATGAATCATATCTATATATACAATAAAAAAAAATATGATTCTTCCTAAAAAAGAAGTACCATAAAAATATAATATGATGTAACAAAAATAACAAATATTATATAAAGTGGTG